GGGGGGAGGGGGAGGGGGGGAATGCCGACGACTATGGTGCGAAACTTATATGGGAGGGGGGATGGTCACCTCGTGCGGTCTGGACGATTTCCCTCTTTGTCTGCTTTGGCTGATGTTACCTGTTTTGCGGTTGTTGTAGCCTCTGACGCTTTTTTGTTGCTGATACCCCACGAGCGCGAACGAACGAACGAAGCCTCGGCCTAAGTTTGGCGCCTCGCACCTCGCTAGACTATTATCTCACGCGACCGCATCGGTTTAGCTAGCCCTTCAGGGGCGCAAAGCACGAACAGCATGCTCGAGGAGTTGCACTCGGTGATTGCGCGGGTGCGCATCGCGGCCTTGCAAGCAGAGTATGTTGTTCCCCCCGAGGCTCACAAGTTACTTACACATCGGGACCCTCATCTTCACACAACCTTGCATTCCCCCTCCATCTCCCCCGGTCTCTAAAACACATGTCATGATACATTGCAACTACACAATACGCAGACTCCAGGCGTTACAGTACAGTAAACTGACGGCCACGTGCCACCTGTCGCAGCGCCCTCGCGCGGGTCCCCTCGTCGTCGAGCCGCGGCGTCGTCCGCAGCCAGCGCAGCAAGGTCACGGCCGTCATGGGCCCGGACGGGTGCAAGCTCGCCAAGAGGAGGGTCGTCAGGGCGCGGGCGGGGAGTTTCTGAGGGAGCGGAAGAGGGAAATGAGCGTTTTGCACGGGTGATTGAGGTGACGGAGCGATGCATGAACGGCGATGGCGAACGTTGGGAACGGATGGGAAGGGATGGCATTGGAGTCGATATTTGGTCTATTTTTGGTCTGCTATACCAAGGCTTGCATTGCTGCTTTCTGAACTCCCAACGTATTGGCTCGGCTGCCTGCTCGCGCGTGCTCGTCCCGTCCCGCCTGTGTGGTTCACATTACCCCCAAGACTGCCAGCGGCGGCCTCACCTCCCCATCCAGCCGCCGTCCACGACCAGCGTGTGCCCGCTCACGTACCCGCTCGCCCTGCTGGCGAGGTACACGGCCGTGCCCTTGAAGTCGTCGGGGCTGCCCCACCGCGCGGCGGGGATGCGCGCGCTGATGCTGGCCAGGCGCTCCGGGTCGTTGAGCAGCGCCGTGTTCATCTCCGTCTCGATGTAGCCCGGCGCGATGGCGTTGACGGTGACGCCGCGCGACGTCCACTCGTTGGCAAACGACTTGGTCAGCTGCCCGACGGCGCCCTTGGAGGCCGCGTACGCGGGCACCGTCAGCCCGCCCTGGAAGGTCAGCAGCGACGCGAAGTTGATGATGCTGCCGCGCCGGCCCGTCGCGGGGGAGGGGTCGAGCGAGAGCATGTGCGCGCCGAGGTCGCGACAGAGGGTGAAGACGGCGTTGAGGTTGACTTGCATGACCTGTGTGTGCGCGCGTCACGCGTGTCAGTAACGGTGCGCCCTTACTTCTCACCCGGAGCCAATCCTTGCTTCGCGGACAAAGGCAGGCAGGCACGGAGGCAGGTAGAGTACAGACTGCAAGGGGGTCGACTCACCTCGTCAAAGTCAGAGTCCGGAAACACCTCGCACTTGTGCCGCCGCTGGATGCCCGCGCACGTCACCAGGATGCGCACCTGGTGCCCGTCGGCGAGGATCTTGGGCGTCAGCGCCGCGACCTGCTCGCGCGAGCCCATGTCGGCCGTGTAGATGGAGGCCTTGCGCCCGAGCCGCTCGACGGCCTCCTTGGTGGCCGTGTTGGACGTGTCTCTCTGGTTTCACACACACTGTCAGTGCCGCAGCCCAAGTCTGAGGTCATCCTCCCTTGGACGAAGCAACACGTACCTGGACGAGGATGAGGTCCGCGCCGGCCTCGGCGAGCCCCACGGCCACGGCCTGGCCGATGCCGCGCGTGCAGCCGGTGACGACGGCCGTGTGGCCCTCGAGGGAGAAGAGAGACGACGCCATTGGGGATTCTTTTGTTGCTGCAGCGGTCCTCCGAGTCGGGGATTGGTCGAGGGGGCTTCCAATGCGCAACAGCTGCGTTGGGAGGAGGGGAGACGTAAATAAAACCGTCGACACAGCGAGGGGCATTTGCCGATGACAGTAGAGCGACGCGGGGCGAGAGCATTGGGCCGGCTATCGAGTGTCGACCGCGCCGCCGCCACTTGCCGAATCCGGCAACCCCACACGGCGTTCTCTCCGCGTTGCCCCCGGGGCTGAACTGGCTTACCCTGCACCGCTCCGGGACGACATGTTACAATTCAGGTGCGTGTTCAAAGCCTTCTGCTCCTCATTCGACGACACAGCGAAACAGTTCACTTCTGGACCCGCACTTCAATTCGCCCAGAAGTTTTCCAGCAGCTTCCTGCAGTACTGGACCGACGTACTCGCCGGCACGCACACCAACCTCCCTCCGACGAAGCCCTCCTACGCGACTGTCGTCGGCGCCGGACGCCCAGCCCCAGCTGCAGCGGGGACCACCTCAAACCCCGTCACCGCAGCTCCGCAGAATCAATGGCAACAACAACCAGCCCCGCGTCGCCAGGGGCAACGCAATCCGCTGCCTCCACCGATAGACGACCTCCGGGTCTTCGCCCGCCTCCGCCCCGGCCAAACCGCCGACATGTCCGGAAGTTTCGCCGTCCGGACCCACATCGCCGACAAACTCGGCATCGACCGGAGCCGCATCCCGCAAGCCCATCCTTGTAAAACCGGATGGGCCATCCGCGCTGCTGACTTGGCAACCAGGGATCTTCTGACTGAGCGACAAACTGAATGGGCTTCAGACATCTCCGCAGAGATCGTTGAAACGCGACAGGAGTGGTACAAGTACGCAGTGCAAGGCTGCCCCCGCCGCCTCAACAACATTTTTGGCGAAGCCATCGATAACGAGAAGGCGATCCGAGATGAAGTCGCCACGCAAACGGGCCAAACTCCAGCGATGGTGATAACCGCGAAAGAGGACTCGGACCAGAGCCCGACCCGGACCCTGATCATATGCTTTGCCAAGGAAGTCAAGCACTACTGGCGCCTTTTTGACACAACAAGCTACGCAAGACGCATCACCAAGACCAGACCCCCGAAGCAATGCGATAACTGCTGGGACTACCACTCTCGCTACAGCTGCGGACGCCAGCCACGCTGCAAGAACTGTGGTAGGATTGGACACGCTTTGGATACCTGCACAGCCACACAGCAATGCGCCAACTGCCGCGGACCGCACGCGGTCGACTTTTCCCTGTGCCCGGCCCGTCCCAAGAAGATAAACGGAGTAGTGCGCAGCCTCAACAGGCCCGAGAAGGATCGCGTCTGTCGCATGGGCCTACGCCTCTTCCAACAGCACACAGCAAAACCGGCATCATCCCCTCCGCGGGAAGTATCCGCGAGCCCCGAATCCCAATCAGCGACAGCGAGCGACACCACGTCCACGTCCAGCCGGAGTACACCCACATCAAGTGACGCAATCACACCGGAGCCCGAGAGGGAAAATAGTGCACCGCGCCCTAGCGAGACAACCTCCGCCTCTACGGCAGCTCCAGCTACCCCGAACAGTCAAGCATCGCCAACTCCAAGCATTGAAAGCGCTTCCAGCGTTAGGCACAGCACCGAAGCATCGGCCAGTCCCACCAAGCCCTCTCCAGCTATCCCAACGACCTCCACAGACTCGGCCACCAGTCGAGCTTCGTCGGCACACAGCGAAAGAAGTAATTCCCCGCCCGTGAGGCAAAGCATCGAGATGTCTGAACAACCGAACGAGTATGTTGGGAATGGTCTAGCACCACCCGCAAGCCCCTCGCCGTCGGCGAGATCCTCGCTAAGCCCAGTTTCCTCGGTCTCCACGCCCACGCCGTCGCTCTCCTCCACGTGCCTCCTCGGAACTCCGGCACCTGAGGTCCGCACCTCCAGCCCTCAGCCAGCCACTTCGCCAAAGAAGCGCCGCCTTGCCTCCCCAGACCCGTCTCTATGAACAGACGACCTAGACGACAACATCGCGACAAGCGACAGTTCCGGGTCTTCCAAGCCAATGTTGGCAAAAATGGCCCCTCGCACGACTGCGCGCTCGCCCTCGCCGGCGCGGAACGATACGAGGTCATACTACTACAGGAGCCCTGGACGCAAGTCCGCGACTCCCGCTGCCTTACCAAGACACACCCTGCCTACGACACCTACTCACCGGTCAGTACCTGGGAAGACAACGACACCCGACCGCGCGTCATGACATACATTCGCCGTGGCGCAAGACTCTTAGCCGACCAGCAACGTCCCGCTCACTCACGAGACATCCTCTGGCTCGCGGTCAACGGCGTAACCGTGGTGAACATCTATCGGGAGCCGCAAGTTGACACCGCCCTTGAAATTCTGTTCGCATGGTCGATACCCAGCCAATGTATCATCGCAGGCGACTTCAACGCGCGGCATCATACGTGGCAGCTCGGCCGCTCTCACGGTCATGGCAACAGCATTGCGTCCTGGGCCTCCGAGAACGATCTCTCGCTCCTCAACCCGATTGACACCCCAACCAACGCCCATGGCAATACAATCGACCTCGCCTTCTCAAACATTGCTCTCGCCCAGGCGACTGTAGAAGACCACCTGGCGACAAGCTCCGACCACTTCACCCTGAGCATCTCTCTTCCCGCTCTGACACCAGCAAAGCTACCCAAGGGCAAGATCCTGCTAGCCACTAACGACGAGTTGAAGCGCTACACAGAAAACATAGAGGCCGGGATCGCGACCATCCCGGCTGCCGCATCGACCCCGGGCGACCTCGACCTGCTCGCGAATGCGATCATCGACCTGATGCAAACAG